TAATAATACCCAGGGTGTTGGGTTGATGAAAGGTTTAGAGATAGAATGTGTATCAAGTTCTGGCAAGTGTTAGACACCCAATAAAAGTAGCTACTATTAGCATGTTCACGTAATTATTAAACTCATGCTGGGGTTTAGTGATCCCCTAGAGACAAACAAAGATGCTCAGCTCCACTGGTCCAAACCATCTACAGTTCTTTACAACAAATGTAGCTCTGATTGTGTGAGATCCAAATGAGAATGCACAGGCAGGGTAGTGACTTAGGAGAGTTCAGGGCATAGAGCAGGCATCCGGAGCCAAGGAGGCAATGAGTCAGGATCTGGGGAGTTGCCAGTACTGGACTCCAGTGTAGAGCAGACAATGGGTCAAATTGGAGGGCCAGCGCAGGAATGAGTAGGAGCGCCAGTGAACTGCTGGACCTGGGACAGAGGCTTTTTGTCCTTCCTGCTGATTGTGGGTCTCTACAAATCCACAGGTACATAACAGCAGTCAGAGGTAGTATCCAATGGTATTGGGCATCATCAAATTGTTGCTCAGTGCAAGTCTGGGAGATCCTGGGTAGTGTAGTCTCATGGTTAAGTACTTGGGCTCTGACATTAACATCTTGAGTTCAAATCTCAGAGTTGACACTTATAGCTGTGTGATGTTAGAAATAGTTCTTTAGTCTCTGAGTACCTTGATTCACCTCCTCACACATCACTGGCCTCCTTTCCAGCTGAAACCAGGTACTGGTCACATCTCAGAACAATACCAGATCTAGAGAAGCCAACTTCAGGGGGATGGAATAGACTGATAGGGTCCTTTCAAATGCCACCTTCTCTCCAAAAGCTCTTCCAGATTCACCCAGCCTGACTGGAAATAATCTCCATGTCTATAGAGTAATACCTAATAGCCAATTGTTAGGTATTGCTCTCAATGACCCTTATTACTTTCAGTTTTGCATGGTAGATGTTTGTGTCCATATCTTACCTGGCCTGCTAGATACTTCAAGCTCTGTGAGGGTAGAAATCAAGGCTGTGTGCCTCCACCCTCACTATTCTCCCTCAGGGCATAATGTCTATAGAGTTGAATTGAGTTTAGAGAAGAGACGTCCCTTTGAGGGCTGAAGTGCTTGCTGAGACTTAGGCAGGTATAAGAATCTTGTTCTTTGCCTACCTGTTGGATGATATCTCTTGGTCGTGATGGCAATGGCTTCTCCAACCCCTGCCCACCAACACACTCATCAGGTTCTTAGCTCTTTCCTACTAAAATACCTCGTGCATGCTACTTCACAACAATGGTGAGTTTAGAGGAGTTTTCTGGGGAGGGTTGGAATCTGAAATTAGACACAACAGGGTATGGGGGTCACAATCCAACCAAAATTAGACACAATGGAGAGAGGGTACACAGAAAGCCCTGAAGAAATATTTGTTGAATGTCAAAATGAACTAGTTAATGCTCCACCTTGGTCTTACAAGCATGGCAGTTGCCCAGTTTCCAGAAATCAGACCATCAGGGAATCTCAGAGGCAAGAAAGGTGAGCCAGTGCTAAAGACTGTTGAGCTAGGACTCTGGAAATCCCTCCCGCCTCAGACTTAGATGAGAGTGTGAGACCTAGAAACCATTTCTGGGGGTGGAGCTCGAGGTTCTCAGGTGGAGGATTCAAATGTTGCTCCTCGGCCCATGGACCTGAACATGGACCGCCCCCCGCCCCGTCATGTCAAACACCAACCCATGTGAGCACGGGGCTAAGTGAGCAAAACAGCATTTAGCTTTCAGGCTATTGCACCAATTACATTGATCTCTCCCAAACTGCATTTCCCACTGCTGTGTACCAATGAGGCAGGAGAAGTCAATGGCAGCACTTGCTTGAGCAGCAGCTGCTGAGGGGAAGTGTGGCTGCCTGAGGACACCAAGATACCTTCTCCAGGTCTCGGCTTGTGCCTTTCTTTCGTCATTTCATAATGAGACCCTACAGGGCTATTTTTCTTCTTTTAGGTGGTATATACTTGTATTTTTACAATCAGCACGCATTACTTCTGTAATAAGAAAGAGTAAAATATTTTTTAAATATCAGTAATAACAAAATAGAGACTATTCCTGTCCATGAAAGAGTGTTATAAATATGTTTTGCATACATATACTTAGATTAATGGAAATGCATGATGCATTTATAAAGTCTAGCAGCAAGCATCTGGCCTAGAATCCAGCCACTTATTTCCTTCATGAATTCACGAAAATCACTTAATTATTCTGAGCCTGAATGCCTTCAACTGTAAAATGGGAATAAGAACTGTAAAATGGAAATAATAAGCTAGTTTTTAATGATATGAGTATTAAATGATGTGTACTATGTTAAAGTATCCACTATATACCAGTTTAATAGATGTATATAATCAATAAATACAGTCCTTTTCCTATTAAAAAATAAAAATGAAATATCAGCAAAATGAAAACATAAATATGTCCCTCCACAGTTAAAATTCTTCATTGCTTCATTGCTCCCAGGATGAAGTCCGAAGTCCAAAATCCTCAGCAAGGCTCCTGAGCCCTGCCTGCTTCCCCTCTCCACCTCATTCACTTGCTGTCCTTCCAGAGTACTGCACTCTTGCTTTGTCTCTAGCAGGTCCAACTGCCCTAAATGCCCTTCCTCTTTGGCTCAACTATATCTGGTCTCACCGTGTCTTCCTGGAGCCTTCCCTGCCCTCCACCCTCAAGTCCAAATGGGGAGGCTGTCTCCTCTCTCTCCCTAGTACCCTGTACTTAATCCCTACAGAGCCCTTACCTCAGTGCGGTGTAGACGTTATGCTGTAGGCTCTGTGTCTGCATAAGTATGTCTTTCTTGTTCTCAGTATATTCTCTGGTGCCTAGAACAGTGCCTGGCATTTACTAGATGTTCAGTTAAATGTTCTTAATTACACAAACAAAACTAATAACAATTAGCTATTAGATTTGGAAGGGTTGTTAAGAGACCATCTAGCCTAGCTCCTTTTTTTTTTTTTTTTTAACAGTGAGGCCCAGAGAAGCAATTCAGGTCTAATCCCTGGTCCTTTCCTGAATTGCTGTGTGATCTTAGAAAATGACTGGGTGAATAGGTGGGCTGGTGCGGGAGAAATATAAGCTCAAGTTCATCCCCTCAAATTGTTGCCAATCAAGGAGAGGAGATAAAACACACACAGTGAGGAAGTGCTAAATTAAACGTTTCTGGTGATTCCGTTTTGCTGGGAGATCAGAAAAGGAAGGGATCAGGAAAGCCTGAGGGCAGGAAGGCTCCTGCAGGAGGTGAGGCTAAGCTGAGCAGGCAGAATCCACTAGGCTGTGAGGATGGGAGGAGCATAGCCAGGAACAGAGCCGGCTCTCCACCCCATGGGATGTGCTCATGGAGGGTCAGAAGCTGCGGATGCAGAGCCCAGCTCTGCCACTTAATAGCCCTGGCCTGGGACAAGTTTCTCAGCCCTTCTAATCCTCAGCTTCCTTACCCTCCTCGCCATGGGAATCTGGATGTCTAACTTGTAGGGGCGTTTTGATGATTAAATGTATGTGACAATATCTAGAACAGCGCCTGCTGCCTAACAGATCATTTTAAGAAATGCCACTTTCTTTTCTTCCTTCCAGCCACGTAAACAGGCTTGACATGTCACTGGCAAGAACACCAAAAGCACAGCTGGGGGCTGAAGGCTTTTTCTGCCCAACCATTCATTCATAGTATGTTTACTCTAATAGGACTGCCTTAGAGCATCTCTCTCTCTCTCTCTCTCTCTCTCTCTCTCTCTCTCTCTCTCTCTCTCTCTCTCTCTCTCCTGTAAAATCCAGGAGAGAAAGCTGTTCTAGCCCCCTGGTCAGAGGGGGCCAGACCAGGAGCTGTCTCTGACTGTCAACACCCAGGTCTGGCCTGAAGTTCTCCCTCCACCACGGGACGTATAAGACATGAGATTATGAGACTAAATGTCATTTTCTATGGGACTGGAGGGAGAGCCTTCAATTAAATTATAGAACAATCCTGTAAAATACCTTGGAACATTTATAAAGCTATTGATATTTCTGTAGGCAAACGGAATGAGGCCTTTGCTGGGAGGAACTGAGGAACTTGGCAGGGGCGGGGGGGTGGGGGGGAATGTTCGTTTTGGTTCATTCCTGCTGATGACAGATTGAGTAATCAGCATTTAGAAGCAGCACCACAAAGGAAATACAGCACATCTCATTTATGGCACCTTCCGGGAAAGATCGGCAGTGGGTGCTCATGAGTGGAGCTCATGTCTTGAAGGAAAGCATTCAAAGTTGGATTTGAGCTGAGGTTATTCATCTTGGAGGACTTTAAACTCTTGTGGGAATCCAATAGAGAGAACTATGGTCCTGTTCCTGGGAAAATCTCAGATGTACCCGAAATTTTACTTGCAGTGTCATGATAGTCATGGCACCCAGGTTTATAATGCCTCGCTAACAAAAATTTAAAACTTTTCTTTGCAACTATTTCTTCATTTTATTACCCAGTTCCCAGCCTTGGAGACCTAACCCTACCACTAATTGCTTCGCAGGTTGTGAATGGGAACTAAGGACTTTAGTTCCAGGCATCAGCTTTTAGTCTTTCCTCTTGTCCATCAATCTGTCTAGACTAGCAGCTCTCAAACCAGAGTGCACGTGAGAATTACTGCACTGACAGGTTGATGATAAAAAGGGGACTCCAACTTTATCTGTAACATACTACCTCTCTTATCTAACAGGATGAAAACAGGCACTTATATCAGCCTGAACTTTATATTTTTTAACTTCATAAAAGAAAGAATAACATTTAAATAATCTCAGTTCAAGCTGAATATACGCGATGGGGCAGTTAGAGAACGTTCTGGGATAGTTAGGACTCCTGTGGTTTTGCCTGATGCACGGACTTGATGTCCAACTCCCACTAAGCTGCCACCACACTGGAACCACATCCTCCAGCGGGTTTGGGGGACACAGGCTGGAAGCACCTGCGCCCTGGAGGGCTGGCACCCAGGGCCTAACCCTTGTCCTCCGGCTGCAGGACTACAGGGTCAACATCTTTCTGCGGCAGCAGTGGAACGACCCCCGGCTGGCCTACAACGAATACCCCGACGACTCCCTGGACCTGGACCCATCCATGTTGGACTCCATCTGGAAACCCGACCTGTTCTTCGCCAACGAGAAGGGGGCCCACTTCCACGAGATCACCACGGACAACAAGCTGCTGCGGATCTCCCGCAGCGGGAACGTCCTCTACAGCATCAGGTGAGCCCGCGGCTAATCGCCTCCATCCTCAGAACCTGCCCTGCCCCGTTGTCTTCTGGGAGCAGACAAAAGAGGCGGGTAAAACAGGTGAAGGGGCCCTGGCAACCTGACACCTTCGCCAGATGGGCAGAGCCAGCCTGAAACATACACCCAGCAAGTACGAATAAAACACCGGGCAAAGTCCTAGGGGCAAGTGGTTTATTCTAACCAGGGAGATCCAGGAAGCATCTGGGAGAAGGTGGGTTAAAGTTAGGCCCCTACCCTTACTCAGAATTTCGATAAAGAAAAAGAGGATGCAAAGGCAACAATGGATAGCAGGAGCGTGCAGCTACGCAGGATGCATAAAAGTTCTAGAGAACCGCTGGACAACACGGTGCCATAGTTAACAACACTGTATTGAATGCTTCAACACTTGTTAAGAGGGTTGATCTCATGTTAAATGTTCTTACCGAAATTTTTAAAAATAGCAGGAGCAAAGGCACAAAACCTGAAAAATTCCAGCAACTTCACCATAAATGGCCTGCCGGTGAGTGGCACTGCTCACAGGTACCAGTCAGGGCTGCTCCATCCCTTCTGGAAATGCTTCCCATCCTCCTTACTTGCACCGGGTCCAGGAAGCTGGGCCCCCTTCCCCAGCTTCCTGCAGATACTGGTCAGAGGCAAACTTTCAGAGTCTCCTGCTACCCTTCCCCACCTAATTCCCAATCTTGTCCCCCAAGACATGAAGAAAATGACTAATGTCCATATAATTCTGATAGATCACCATTCACTGAAATGTACTTACTAGACTGGGTACTTTACACAGATGATTTCTAATCCTCCTCACAACCCAATGAAGTAGGTTTTATTGTGCCCATTTTGCAGATTAGACAAGTGAGGAGCTGAAAGCTTGAGTACTTAGCAAAGTGCCCAGAGCTAATCTGATGTCCACTCAGAACCTTACAGAACAGGAATGTGGCATTGAATGGGTGCTCAAATATTTGCTGAATGAAGATGTTTTTATTTGAAAGGGTTTAAAGGGAGCACTGATCCTAAATGGCTCCCCCTTTTCGTCCTCCCATTCCTCAGGGGACTAAACCTTTTCATTTCCTTTAGAAGGTAAGCTTTTAAAAAAAATTTTTTTATTTGTATTGACTTCAAAGAGGAAGGGAGATAGAGAAATAGAAACATCAATGATGAGAGAGAATCATCTATCAGCTGCCTCCTGTACACCCCCTACTAGGGATCCAGCTCACAACCTGGGCATGTGCCCTGACGGGGAATTGAACCGTGACCTCCTGGTTCCTCGGTCAATACTCAACCACTGGGCTGGAATGTGAGCTTTAAATGTCCAGGCTCATAGAAGAGGCTGCACAGGTCCCAATCCTCAGATGTGGCCAAAAAGCAGACTGGCTAGGAGAGGAGACTTAGAAATCTCTGCATGGAAAGTAGCACCACAGAGGGGAAAGCTGGGAGGAACCGGAGGCAGACGCCTTCCAAACCTGGGGGCCCACCCCACCCAGTGCCCATCCAGACAGGAAGGGTGGTGGGCTCAGGAAATGGCACCAAGACCGTGGCTAGCTGGTGGTCAGGGAGGGTCACCCTACCTGGTTCTTGCTGCTGCCAGGCTAGTTTCATGTCTCTGGGAAGCTAAGCCCCAGAGCAGCATGACAGAGGAACAAATCAGCAGAAAGTGATAGTCCCAAGGTCATTCAACTTCTGGAAATTAACCCAGTGTGACAGCTGCCCCGCCTTGAAGGTTTTAGCTTCAGAAATCAACTGCATTCACTTTCCCCCTCCTCCTCCTCCCTTCTCTCTCTCTCATCTCCCCCTCCCTTCCATTCTCCTTTCCCCCCTCTTGCTTCTACTTTGTGCATGAAGGGACCCACATGGGAGCTGTGGATGTGAGCTAAAGGGCAGAGGTTCACACAGGGCCTGGTGCCTCACCACGTGCAGCCAGGGTGCCAGCACTGAGTGATCACTACCAACTCGGTGCCTTTCAGGACAGCAGTGCTGGGAAGCCAGCCAGCCAGCATCCACGCTCAGCATCCCAAGGCTGGGAGACCTGGTTAAATCCTGCCTGAGCCATCAGCTTGCTGTGTGACCTTACACAAGCCCCTCCCTCCCTACCCTCCTCTGCACCTCACCTGTCAAATGAGGGAGTTGGCCTGATGATCTAAGGCTCTTTCTTCTCCATCCCCTGCAGCAGGTGCTCAGATGTTGGCAAAGGCCATTCAAGCAGAAGCCTGTATCCCAGCCGGAGCTGCAGACTGAGGGTTCTGTTAAGGGGGCTTCCTCTGGGTCTGAGGCTGCAGCCCTCTGCAAGGGTTGAACAACCCAGAATAAACAGCTAGCCCAGAAGCCAGGGGTGCCCACCACTTCCCAGCTGACACCAGCAGGAGCCCACAGATGTGAGCCATCTGTGTTTGGACACCAGCTGTTTAGAGATCTTTTGAAATAACTTTTGATGAGCCTAGGGCAGTGGTCGGCAAACTGCGGCTCAGCAAACCACAGCTCGCGAGCCACATGCGGCTCTTAGGCCCCTTCAGTGTGGCTCTTCCACAAAATACCGGCTCTTCCACAAAATACTGACTTCTGCGCATGGGCCACGAAGTTTCTATCGCACTGTACGTGCGCGCCCACACGTGGTATTTTGTGGAAGAGCCACACTGAAGGGACCAAAGAGCGGCATGTGGCCCGCGAGCCGCGGTTTGCCGACCACGGGCCTAGGGTATGAAGGGAGGGAGTCAAGAACCACTGGCGGCACCTGCTGCCAGTGCACCTGGGAATGCCGGAGGCCTGGTGCTGCTCAAGGATCATTCAGGCCCTGCCCCTGCCCGAGGCCTCTGCAGAAGAGCGGGACAGGGGGGCAGCCCCTGGCCTCCAGGTCTTCAGGCACCTTGCTAAAGGCAGGCCCCTAGGAGCCAGACAGACTCCAAAGAAACACAGAAGTTCTATTGACTCTCTGTGACCTTCATCTCTCTGAGAACCATTTACATATCTGAAGTGTGGAAATGTACATATGTTGGTTCCCTGACCTCCTTGACCCCTTGACCTCTCCGAGTAAGTAGTTTCTGGTAGTAACTAGAATGGAGGCACAGCTTCCCTGGCCTGTGGACCCAGCGTCATTTGACTCCCTTCTCTCCCCAGAATCACCCTGACGCTGGCCTGCCCCATGGACTTGAAGAATTTCCCCATGGACGTCCAGACGTGTATCATGCAACTGGAAAGCTGTGAGTCCCTCACATGAGGCCTCTAGAAAGAACCAGTCTCCCCTTTACCCACAGGACTGGCAAAAATCCCCACACAGCTGCTCCTAACCGCTGGGCCCCAGAAGATTACTGCAATAGCTCAAAAGGCCAGTGAGGGGCTTGGCTCCTAGAAAATGCTTTAGAAATATAACTCCCCTTATATTGTCTGAGGCCCAGCTCTGGAGCCAGCAGCATTCTCCAGAGAGGCACTGCCCCTGTCCCTCATGAACATGCTCCCCAGGAGTGACGGGGAAATAGCTGGAATAAGGCATGGTCCTTGAACTTACGGGAATGCTCCCTCCAGCAGGGAGACAGATGACTGGCTAACACAGGGCAGCAAGTGGTAAGTGTTCTATTAGAAGTAGAAAAGAGGGTGGTCTCGTGGCAGAAAGCAGGCTTCCTTCTGATTGGGAAGGAGGGACGGTACTGGAGAAGGCTTTATGGAGATCAAGTGAACCAGGATTTTAACAGCTGGGGTAGGTAGCTGGATTCTTTTACTGTAAACCCAGAGAGCAATCAGACGCATTTTAAAAATATTAAGTGGAAAGATATGGAGGTTCCTCATGGACTGGTAGGAGAAACCAAAAGTACAGAAACTGGGGCAGAGCATTTAGGCAGCAGGGACTAATGGGTCCTCCCCTCAGAGCAACACCTCTGGAGACAATCAGCACCAGCCAACGCTGAGCCTCCTGTGACTTCACCCAAGGGCCAAAGTCCTGGGGCAGAGAGTCTGATAGGCCTCGTGGAGTCAGCATCTCACACTTTGGCCCCCAAATGATAGTCCCACCACAAAAGCACCCCATAGAATCATTCCCCTGAGGAAAGTCTTCTGTGAGCAAAAGAGGGAGCTTGCAAGGATGGTGTACAGGCAGGAATAGCAGATGTCAACTAAACTTGACCAGGAGGTAAGGGGGAGGGGCAACAGGACACGCTATGGTAGGGTGCTGGGAGTTGTAGGGAGAGAGGGAGAAGGGTTGTGGGGTAAATATAAACAATTAAACCAGTTTTATCTTCCTATGTGGAGGGGGGAGGAAGCAACATGGTTTCATGAGTTCCCTCGAGTACCTGATGCCTCTCTCTCTAACCATAAAGCCAGACACGCCACAGATAAGTGCTTCTGGGTGGTGACTGCTTCTTCTTCTTCTGATCCCATCCCAGTTGGCTATACCATGAATGACCTCATCTTTGAGTGGCAGGAGCAGGGAGCTGTGCAGGTGGCAGATGGACTAACTCTGCCCCAGTTTATCCTAAAGGAGGAGAAGGACTTGAGATACTGCACCAAGCATTACAACACAGGTAGGTGCGTGGGGCCACCCTCTGCAGGTCCCACCCCCACCAGGGCCAGAGATCATCTCAAACATTCATTCAGTCATTGCTTCAACATGATGGATAGAGCTCTGGGTTTATTACTAGTGGTTATATATTTATTAAAGTGGCTCCGACCCTTTCTTCCTGTGAGTCCTGGGGCAAGCAATTTAAACTTAGGTCCCAGCTCATTACAAAGAAAGCTGGGAGATAGTCTTTATTCCAGGCAGCAGGGTACCTAACTCAAAATGGACCCAATTCCTAAGGCAGAAGGAAGAGCTAGTATTGGGAGGACCTCTGGTGTCTCTGTGTCAGAGGAACTGCTCAAGGCAAGGGATGGAGTGTAGGTGGTCCCGATTAAGGTGAAGAAAGGAGGGACGTGGGATGGAAAAGCAGGCAGAGCTCCATTGTGAAGGGCAGACTAAAGAGTTTGAACTTTCCCTGCAGGTAATGGGGACCTTCTTGTATGAGGAGAGAAGGAAGGAAAGAAAGGTTTTACAAAGGGAAGTAACAGGATCAAGTCATGTTTTGGGAAGAAAACTGGCAGAAGGAAAGAGAATGGTCCACTTAGGCCCACTCTTTGCAACAAAATAGTGAGGATGAGGATGATCGCAACTGACATTGCCGAGCACTAATGATGTGTGAGGACTGTGCTAAGTTCTTTATAGACACCATCTCATTCTCTCATCACAATTACCATATGAGTAAACATGTGAGGTAGGTATTTATTATTATTATTGTCATCTTCATCATCATCCCCAATTTTCCATAGACAAGATTGTTCTGACCTCAAAGTCTTGTTCCTGTCCACTAGGCCACTTTGCCTTCTCATTATAATTTCTTGCAGGTAAATTCACCTGCATTGAGGCTCGGTTCCACCTGGAGCGACAGATGGGCTACTACCTGATCCAGATGTACATTCCCAGCCTGCTCATTGTCATCCTCTCCTGGATTTCCTTCTGGATCAACATGGATGCTGCACCAGCCCGTGTGGGCCTGGGCATCACCACCGTGCTCACCATGACCACCCAGAGCTCTGGCTCCCGAGCGTCCCTGCCCAAGGTAAGTCCCACTGCCCAAGCGCACGGAGCACCTGGACAGGTAGGAGGACACTCATCTCCCTCCCCTACCTGCGATAAGGACAGCATGAGGAATTAGTCACTATTTCTTCATCTACCACACTTGGCAGGGTCCAGCACTCTGATTCACCAAAACCTTCCTCCAGATTTAACATTATGTTCAATACAAATGCAAAAGAAAGAAAGGAAGGAAGGAAGGAAGGAAGGAAGGAAGGAAGGAAGGAAGGAAGGAAGGAAGGAGGAAGGAAGGGAGGAGGGAGGGAGGGAGGGAGGAAGGAAGGAAGGAAGGAAGGAAGGAAGGAAGGAAGGAAGGAAGGAAGGAAGAAAGGAAGGAAAGATTGCAATTGTTCAATGCAATCCCCAGACACCTTTTGCTCCATTCTCTACCAACATTAGACACACATTCTGCTTCATTTACTGTTAACACTCGACTCCTCCATTCACTTTTAGTGCTGAGTACAACATTCCACCCCTTTCACCATTAATGTAGATACTCTGACTTGGGGGTCTCCAAGACCACCCCCATGTTCAGAGACTTGAAAGGACTCAAAGACTCAGCATATAGTTATACTCAAGGCTAAGACGTCTTGCAGTGGTATATCCAGGATGCACAGCTAGATGACAAGGAAAATGACATATGCAGAGTCTGGAGGAATCCTTGGGCAGGCTTCCTTGCTCTCTCCCTCCCATGAGGGACCACAGAGAGCACCCTCTTACCCAGCAACAAAAGTCAGCACAAGTGTGAAATGTTTCTGCCCAGAGAGACAGAAAGAGAAAGTGTTTAGAGATTCATTTAAGATTCATTATTGGGCCAGGCTGGTGTAGCTCAGTGGTTGAGCTTTGACCCATGAACCAGAAGGTCACAGTTCAATTCCCAGTTGGGGCACATGCCCAGGTTGTGAAATCAACCCCCAGTAGGGGGTGTGCAGGAGGCAGCCTATCAATGATTCTCTCTCATCATTGATGTTTCTCTTCCTCTCCCTTCTTCTCCCTAAAATCAATTTAAAAACTTACTTTTTTAAAAAAGATTCATTATTGAAGGTTTTTACTGGGTGCTGGGTGCCTAGCACATAACAAAATTCCAGACCCCCAGAAGGAAAACAGATGTTCAGCATAAACCATGTTGTTTGTACAAGCAGTCCAAGCACCCTTATCATTTAGGGAAAGTGGGAACAACCCCCAATTCCAAGTTCCCAGATGTCCTCCAAGGGCCAGCCTTGCAAGCAGGTCCTTTGTAAGAAAGCAGCCTCATGTTATGCCTGATACGCTAACCCTCCTCTACACATACCTCAATCTGATTCTTATATTTCTAATGTTAAACACCACTTTCTAGTACATTCACTATTAACTCTTGAATCGTATGCTGCTCCATTCACTATTAACCCTAGACCACAGATTTCACTCCGTTTACTAGTAATGCCAGGTACACATTCTGCTTCATTCGTTCTAGGCTAGACACAACATTCTGCTCCATTCTTCCAAGGCCAGGCACAGTATTCCACTTCATTCATTACTGACAGCAGACACTAACTCTCCTCCAGTCACCCTTGCTGTAAATGTACCATTCTGTTCCTTTCACTATTAACACTAGAGCTCACATTCTGCTTAATTCACTTGTAACATCAGACAATGTGCTGCTTCATTTACTATTAATGCCAAACACCACATACTCCTCCGTTCCCCCGTGCTCGAGATCCGAGGTTCTGTTCCCTTCGCTGTGAATGCCGGGTGCCCCGTTCTGCTGTGCTCTCTTCTAACGCTAGGCACTGCCTCCGCCTACATTCCCTGCTGTCATTGCAGACACATTCTGCTTTATCCATCCAACACTAGATGCAACATTCTGCGCTGCTCCCAATGCCAGACCCCACCCTCTGCTCCCTCAGCCTCATTTTAAATGCAATGTGCTGCACAATGTCCAATTAATGCCACACTTAACATTCTGTTTTGATACAGAAACACTGAAATAACACACAATGAGCACTATTACACCCTTTACCTGCACTCCAATTGTTAGCATTTTGCCTCATTCCCTTCATCTCTGTCCCTCTATATATAGATAGGTAGGTGGGCAAGGGAAGTGGGTAGATAGATGCAGATTTTGCTCAAGTATTTGAAAGCTACCCACATCATGACAATAAAGAATAGGGATCATAATGATAGTATGACATCTAAAAAATTAACATTAATTGAATAATCATTATTAAATTAGGAATAACACCGTAATTTCAAGCCCCCTATGGACTTCTCACCCCTAGCTTTCCTGTTTGCTTTTTGATCAACCTGTTGTTTGCCTGGAGGGTTACCTGATGCTCAACAGTTGTCACTGTTTTCATCAAACGCCCCCAGGGAGAGGCTGTCACACTGGGCCAGCAATTTTCAGAGACCCCCACGTTAGGTCCAATATGACAGTCCTCTGGAGATGGAGCTTTGCACAAGCTCCCACTCTGTTCTGCCCCATCAGTGGGTGCCAGGACATTGGTTTTCAAGGCTGGCATGGAGCTGAGGGACAGGGATAGGAATGGGGCAATTTAAAACACCAAAAGCCCCAAGGGAAATTTAAACATATGTCCACACAAAAATTTGTACAGATTTTTGTAGCAGTATTATTCGTAATAGTCAAAAGGTAGACACAACCCAAATGCCCATCAACTAATGAATGGATCAACAAATTGTGGTATATTCATACAATGGAATATTACTTGGCCATTAAAAATGCAATACTGCCCTGCCAGCATGGCTTAGTGGTTGAGCGTCGACCTATGAACCAGGGGGTCACAGTTCAATTCCCTTCAGGGCACATGCCCAGGTTCCAGGCTTGATCCCCAGTGTGGGGCAGGAGGCAGATGATCAATGATTCTCTCTCATCATTAATGTTTCTCTCTCTCCCTCTCCCTTCCTCTTTGAAATCAATATATATACATATATTTTAAATGAAATACTAGTACATGTTAAAATATGGATAAACCTTGAAAATGTTATGCTAAGTAAAAGAAATTAGTCATAAAAGTTCACATATTATTCCATTCATATGAAATGTCCAGAACAGGGAAATCTATAGAGACAGAGAATAAATTACTAGTTGCTTAGGACCAGGGGTAGGAGAATTGGGGCAATAGAGAGATGACAGCTAAAAGTTACTAGGTTTTTATTTTGAGGTGATGAAAGTTCTGAAATGGACTGTGCTGATGGTTGCACATTATCTGTGAATGTATAAAAAAATCATGGAAGTGAGCACTTTAAATGTGTGCATTGTGCAGTATGTGAATTATATCTCAATGAAGCTGCTTTTTAAAATACTAAAAGCTTGCTGTTCTCACTGAGATTCAGTTGTCTAATGGCTAATTACCAGAGTTCTGAAAAAAGTTTATTGTGACCTTTTTTAAAAAATATATATTTTATTGATTTTTTACAGAGAGGGAGGGAGAAAGAGAGGGATAGAGAGTTAGAAACATCGATGATATAGATGACCACAATAAAATATGTAAATAACCTGGAAAACCAGCCACAACCAGCAATTTAAAATTACTCTTACTTTATTTGGAGAAAATCAGTTTCATAGTACTGGTTTTAAATCTGTTTACATTTATTTGTTTGTTTATTTGTTTCATTTTATTTTATTTTCAACCATCTACTTTTATAGATTCTTTTTCAGAGTAAAATTTTGTACATATGTATATGTACATATCTGTTTCATTTGGGCTCATTTCTATAGAATTTGTAAGAATGAAAATAAACATTTTGATTCCCTAAAGAAAAAAAAAAAAAAGAAAGAAAAAAGAAACATCGATGAGAGAGAAACATCCATTCAGCTGCTTCCTGCACACTCCCTACTGGGGATGTGCCAGCAACCAAGGTACATGCCCTTGACCGGAATCGAACCTGGAACCCTTATGTCCGCAGGCCAACACTCTATCCACTGAGCCAAACCAGTCAGGGCTATTGTGACCATTTTTGCTGGTTCTCTTGTGGCTTTGATGGAGGAGCGAGTTTTTGAAGCTCTTACTCCACAATTTCCTGGCATGCTCCACTTTGACATTAGGTGTGGCATCCCATTCCTTCACCCTGAGACTAAACACAGCATTCTGTTCCACTGAATACTAATCCTGGGCCCACCATCCTCCTCTCGCCAGTACTCTTCCAGGCACCGTGTTCTGTTGTGCCCAATATTCTGCCCAGTCTTCTTGATGTGTTTTTCTTTGTTTTCTGTAGCCTCCACCCTAATATCCCAGCTGAGGAGAGGACAGCAGTGGGGGATGAGAGGAGTTACTGAGCAGCAGAAAACATTCCACCATGGTCAATATTCCACCCTCCTCTTGTGTTCTTCCCCCACCCCGCCTCAGGTGTCCTACGTGAAAGCCATTGACATTTGGATGGCGGTGTGCCTGCTCTTTGTGTTCTCCGCCTTGCTTGAGTATGCTGCTGTCAACTTCGTGTCTCGGCAGCACAAAGAGCTGCTCCGGTTCAGGAGGAAGCGAAGACACCACAAGGTAGGTCTTTGGGTCACTGCCTGAAGGAGGAGGGACAGCTGGTGGCAGCCTTGTCTTGTGATACTTGTTTTGCTGGACCATCCTTCTCAGTGGGAAAGGCAGGCATGAAACAGGAATTAAAGTCATAGAAGTCCTGGCTTCCTCTCCCATAAATAAGGCCCCAATTGGGTCTATAGGCAGTCACTCTTTCAACTGTGATAACACTGCAGAAATTATCAGATTGCACCCAAAGACAGAACTGATGGAGCAAATGCTGATGGCACCAAGATAATGACTAGCTAAAAACCCAAAGCATGGCAGGCTGCGAGATGCTTATTAGTGTTTCCTGCAAGGCTGCACTATTTCAGTGGGCATGGTTCCAGAGGGGAACTGTACCACAGGTGAGATCTGAGTAGAATGTCCACATTCCAGGCTTCTGCTTCCTACTTCCAAGAAAGGGGCATCAGGAAAGATCCTCCCCTGAGAGGATTCTCTCACTAAGGGATTGAATATTTGGCAGGCCATCTCTGAAAAGTCACCAACCACCAAATGCCACTGGAGAGCCTGTGGGAGCAAACTGGCCCCACACCTGGTCCATAGCTACTTCCCCAGGAGGATCAGAGAACCCACTCTTCTCTCCAGCCTCATCTTCACATTTGATTGCTGTGGGTGTCACTGGATTTGACCTCCAAGCCAATTGGCTGTGAGGACTAGCTGTGACTACAGTGGGAGAGCTGCTGTGCAGGAGACACCCCTATGGAGCAGGATTGCTTCAGTGGGACTTTGGTGCTGAGTCTGCCCCTTGAGTGTTGCTTGAAGATTTGTAGAGTTGTAATCTGCTATGGTCTGAAGCTGTCTACCAGGTGCACTGGCTCTGGGGCCTCCCAGGAGGTGCAAAGTCAGCCACTGACTGAGGCCACCTAGCAAGAGCTACAGAGAGATCTACAGATTCCTCCTATTTGTATCAGGTTTGGAAGTGCCCAGGTGAGGCCTAGCTGTGAAGCATAGCAGGCTGGTGCTGGTGCCAGGTCTTGGGCCTTTTATTGATAAGTTTGGGGCACACTGACACCAAATGCAGCTTGAGAGATATTAGCAAAGTCTGAAGCCTGAGCCAAGATAAGCCATTCATATGGAAAAGTTGCTGCATACAGCTTGGGTGGGGCTACAAATTGGATGGGGCGGGGTCTCAGGGAATCACCAGGGCAGAGCAAACAGTGTGTTCCAGGTTGATGGGGCTCAGATATGGTTGCCAGTCAGCCCTGGGGCAGAGAAAGTCTCGGCATAGGAACAATGACCCCTGTGAGCCACCCCCAAATTCTTACCCCAAAGCCAGACAATCCAGTTCCTCCCTTTATGTGTCTAGATCTCCCAATGCCTCCTGGCACTGGAGCTCAGAGGAAGCGAGTCTGAGTAAGTTCATGCCTCGCCCTTTAAGAGAAAAACCTGGGTCTCAGGCAACCTCCATGTCCTCGGCCACAATCCCCACTGGTTTTTACAGTCTGAAGTTACAGGGACTTCTCTTCCCATCTCTGGGACCCTCGGTGGGGGGGAGTCTGGTGTGGGGCTGGGACTCCTTGTTCCTCACGGTGGCCTCTGCGGTTTAAAAAAAAAAAAATGGTACACGTGGATGCTGGACCAGCCCCTTCCATGCCTCTGCCCCTCCTACCGGTCTCAGTGTGCTTTCTTTTTTACTTTTCTAGTTGTAGGACTTCCATTCAGCCAGCTTTCAGGTGGTTCTGAATGATAGTTGTTCTGTAATTTAGTTGTCATTTTGATGTGGTTGTGGGAGGCAGCGAGTACCGGACTTTACCTACGCTGCCATCTTCTCATTTATTATTTATGCACTTTCTCTGTTGCCCCTGTGCGTCCCCAACTCCCTGCCTTAAGCTCACTACCAACATGCCTGCTGCCCTCATCCTTCTTGTCTCTCCGTTTCTGAGCTAAGTGATCTTGCCCTGTTCGTATGTCCATTCAGTGTTGAGGGGTCAATGAATGTGATAGACTTTACTCTGAGTTCACAGAGCTTACAGTATAATGAGAGAGGTAGACATCAATTGAGGAATACAATGTGTTAAAAGCTTCAAGGAAGGGGGGGGGCAGTGTACAGGGACCTTATGGACAACATGCAGGGACTCCTAGCCTATTTCTGAGCTCAAAGTCTTCTGAGTAAGAATTCAGTGGAAGCCGAAACCGGTTTGGCTCAGTGGATAGAGCATCGGCCTGCGGACTGAAATGTCCCAGATTCGATTCCGGTCAAGGGCATGTGCCTGGGTTGCGGGCACATCCCCAGTAGGAGATGTGCAGGAGGCAGCTGATCGATGTTTCTCTCTCATCGATGTTTCTAACTTTCTATCTCTCTCCCTTCCTCTCCTTAAAAACTCAAAAAAATATATTAAAAAAAAAAAAAAAAGAATTCAGTGGAAGAGAAGGAGTTGGAAGCAGGACTGGAGGTAGGAGTGTGCCCCAGGCAGAGAGGACAGATGGACTAGGGGCCCGGAGTTAGAGAGCGAGTGTGGCATTTCCGACCCCATGGAAACGTTTCAGGGTGAGTGGAGCACAAGATGCCAGAGAGACAACAGCACAGATGAGACTGGAGAGGCAGGCAGGGTCCTCCCTCAGAGCTCACATGGAAAGAACACAAAGCTACACACGACGAGAGCAGACAATGGAGCCTCTATGATTCTGATCCAGGCAAGATGACTTAGCTCAGGGAGGGAGAGACGAGAAGGATAGGGCAGCAGGCGTGTTAATGTGAGCCTAAGGGAGGTGGGGTGCACAGGGATCACTCAGGAAGTGCCACAATGCTGGCAGGTGTGCACAGGGAGAGAAAAGCCTGTAAAGCAGAGGTTCTCAACCTGTGGGTCGCTACCCCTTTGGGGGTCGAACAACCCTTTCACAGGGGTCACCTAAGACCATCGGAAAACACATATATAATTACATATTGTTTTTGTGATTAATCACTATGTTTTAATTATGTTCAATTTGTAACAATGAAATTGGGGGGTCACCACAACATGAGGAACTGTATTAAGGGTCGCGGCATTAGGAAGGTTGAGAACCACTGCTGTAAAGGTAAGTGGGAGCCAAATAATGAAGGGCCTTGAACGAAAACCTGATACAGGCCTAGAGCTATGTCTGAGGCCCACAACTGCCAGGGATATGGGGACATGGAAGTAGGAAGAAGCTGTGGCTTCCCGGCTTAAGAAACACAGGTGAGGCCCACAGCACTCGCTCCCTCCTGGACAATTCGCACCCTCGCCCCCACCCACACACAAGAAGATATTAACTGGGGATGGGGGTGGGGGAGGAGGGCAAGGAGGCAACAGAAGCAAAGCAGGGGATCTCTCCAAATTGTCCCCTGGATTTCCAATAAAGCAGCATCCTGAGTGTGTACTCATCTCTGACCTCTGATGGGCAAAAGAACCTTTGAGGTAGTGAGATGACTCTTACCCCCACTTGTAGGTAAAAATGCAATAAAATAAACCCTGAGACTCACAGAAGAAAGTGACTTGCCTAAAGTCCTACAGTTAGAAGGTAATAGAGCTGACAGGCGAACTCGGGTCTCAGGATCCTATGCCTCGTTTCTATCCCCTGGTTTGCATCTGTTTAAGGCACACGAGCGGCGCCCCTCTATAAGGCATAACTCCCCAGCCAGCCAGAAAGCCTCAGAATCCTGGAGTGGTGCAGGGAGGCAGGGAGGCCGGGAGGGCCAGAAGGCATGGCCTGGCCCCGGGGAGTGCCTTGCAGGGAGGGTGCCCAGCCCCTGTCTTATTTTAAGTAGAGCCCCATGTTGAATCTATTCCAGGAGGATGAGGCGGGAGAGGGCCGCTTCAACTTCTCTGCCTATGGGATGGGCCCAGCCTGTCTACAGGCCAAGGATGGCATCTCGGTCAAGGGCGCCAACAACAACAACACCACCAACCCAGCTCCTGCGCCGTCCAAGACCCCGGAGGAGATGCGAAAACTCTTCATCCAGAGGGCCAAGAAGATCGACAAAATATCGCGCATCGGCTTCCCCATGGCCTTCCTCATCTTCAACATGTTCTACTGGATCATCTACAAGATCGTCCGCAGGGAGGACGTCCACAACCAGTGACGGGTCTGGGACGGGGGAGGCTGGGAGCGGGTGGTAGGACCAGCACAGGCATCTGAGAGGCGAGGAAGGGGCGGGAGAGGGCGGGGCACGCACACACGATCCCACTCTCTCTGCACAGCGTGCGATAGCAAGAGGCAGCGATGCATGAGTCTTACAATGTGGCACTCTCTATTTAACCACGGGGAGCTGGGGGGAGGGGGTTTCTAACATAGGAACTGAGGGGTGGGGAGGAAGGGAGGGGGTTTTTTTGGGGGGGAGGGGAGGTCCACGGGCTGTACAGTTTTCCAGTTTGGAAGGAGAGTGCAGCCTGCCCCAGAGCAGAAGGAAAGCAATGTAATATATGATATATATTCATGCTTACTATTAATGCAAACCCACAAGAACAAACGATGTTTCTTAACCTATCAGCCTAGTAACTGCTTAAATTGTTAAAGTCACGGAAGTGATGGACACTTTTTTCCCAGAGTGGAAACAGTCACAAATAAGCTTGCTCTGGTGTGTGGCCGCATCACACCCCTCCAAACGCCATGCCTATCTTCACGCCCACCCAGGTGGACACATGCCAAAGCTTCCGCCTCTGCTTCCACAGGGCTGTGCGGCCAGAGCGTGGCAGTGCGCGTGGGAGAGCTGGAGCGCAGAAGGGAGTGACTAAAGAGATGGGACATTTCAGAGGCGCAAGGATGGAGAATGCAGATAACCCTGCGCAGTCCTCACGTCTCAGGCTAAGGGTCGCGCCCGCCCCCCTCTGCTCCCTCTCGCTTCTGTGCTCCAGCACGCACCCCCTTACCGTCCACCGCCGCCCAGAAACGCCACCATGGTCTTCTCATTATATTGCCAATATGCAATCTTTTTTATGGTTAAAAAAAAAAGTAATAATCTCAAGAAATAATGTGCATAGACTTGAGTGTAAACAGATGCACTTTTTCAAATGTCTATTTTTTTGGAAAGTCTCTTTGGAATTGCAAATGGCTATATATTTGGGAAGGTGGGGTCGGTGGAATGAATGAATTTATTATAGGTGGTTCTGCAGAGTGAAGTTTTAAGAGAGAGAGGCGGGTATTGAAGCTGCTACAGCTTAGATATATACGGGTGGGAAGAAATGGGAATGTGTAGAAAGTCTGTTCATTATATTTTGACATTTCATGTACCGCAAATAATGTGGGAGCTTGGGGGGGGGGGGTGACCCCATTATATTTTTATAAGTCTTTTTTTTTTCTTTTTCGGTGCTTTGTTTAGCTTTAACATTTAGGAAAGTTGGACAACTATTTCTCTTTCCTTCTAACTCTGATGTGCCAGACCTAACCCTGGATAGGGAGGGCACCCCAGAAAGAAAGGAGAGACTAGAACATGGATTGTAAGGGGAGGGAGATCCAACAGAAGGGCCCAGTTGCTCCCAAATGGCAGCCTGCAAGGGGGGCTGCAGAGGAAAGAGGGGCTGTCTCCGGCAGCCTCTGCCCCTCTCTGCCAACCCCACCAGGCCTGAAGCACTGGCACCACGGCTGTGGCCTTCTCCCCGCTCTGGTCAGTAACCAGGATACCGGGTTCCACTCCTTTCTTTGCACTTTAGTGTCTTGGCTTTGGCTCAGTCAGTCGATGGTAAGACAGAGCTGACAATCAGTTTGTACTGCGGCTTGGGATTTCACTTGTGTCTTTAGAGTGTCCCCAACCTGGGGCAGGACCCAGATGAGACGCTGGTAGCCTAACCCCTCCCTAAAGCACTCTTCTCCTGTTCCCTGAGGCACAATCGCTGATGCCTACAGAGGCCAAGACAAGGATCTAGAAGGACTTAGGTAAAGGAGATGCACTATGCAGCCAAAAAGGGATTTGGCTCTGGGGCTTAAGGACAGAGCTGTTTACAGGGGCTTCCAAGGCCAGTGAGTCATGCCTCCCCTTCTCCGGGCTGTGCAAACCAGAGAGCTGAACTGTGTTCTGGCCCCGGATGATGTGGGCAAAACCTGGAATCTTTTTCTGAGAAGCACTGACAGAGGGGAGCCAAGTGTGGGGGGGGGGGGGGTGTCTCTCATCCAAGACCATCCTTTCCCACCATAAACTTGTGTCTATGGAAGAAAAGTTAAGTAGAGGGTTTGGAACACTACCAGTTCAAGACCAGCATATCCGCCTTTGAGCTGCTGTTAGCGCCTTTCGCTAGCACGATGTTCACTTTATTTAAGGGGGAAGATCCATTCGTGAGTCTTCGAAGAGGCTACTAGCCCCTTTCACTTAGCACTTTATTTAAAAGAAAAATTACTTTTTAATGAAAAAATTAAAGAGGCCCTTCTCCCTACTTTACTCATTGCTGGTCTGAATTCAGAAAGCCTGAAGTCTGGGTGAGTCAGGCAACGAAGGCGCCAGGCCCTGCAGGGGACAAGAGACAGTGCCAATTGTTGAGACATTCTGCCTCCACCCAAACAGCAAAACCCGCAGATTTCAAACTGGGCCCCTGAATGAAGCGTCCAGAATCTCTGAGACAGAAACCCCCGGGCCATTTGCCCAAGCCCGGCTGGGTCCTTGACCTTCTGCCCATATTCAACTTGCAGGCCCACTGGGAGCTGCCGGGTCTAGCAGACAGTATCCAACAGACAACAGAATGATCTCCTTAGGACACAGAGCGGGGATGTCACTGGAATCTTCTCTTGGATTATTCCAAACATGGGATCCCTCATGAAAAACAAATGTGAGTGGATGCCTTACAGCAGGGAAAGGAACCTGAATTCTAGGCCTGCCTCTAACCTGCTGGGTGACTTGGGGTAAATGACTAAGCTTTACTTTCTCTAAATGCACGTGGGGAGAGTGGCGTAGGTGGCCTCTAACTCCCTCCTCGCTCTAACTGTGCTTGAGCTGGTCGTCGGGACATTCACACCGCAAACAGTTTAATGTAACCTTGACTTCTGAACCTCCCCGGTGGACACGCACATATATGTACACACGTACGTGGACCCACACAATTCTTGTTGCCCTCCTTTGAAAAATTGGCAGTTTCATTTTTTCTCTTGCTCTGCTTTACCAAAGGGGAACCGTGGTGGGGTAAATATCAGCCATTATAAAGTCAAAACTGGTATCATGCCTACAGGGCGCATGCTCAAGAAGTCATTCTCATTCGTGTATAATGTCAGTAAGGATTTAGCAATAAACTTCATGGACTTCATCATTATAGAAAATCAAACTAGAGGATTTAGGCCAAATACTTTTTAGGTGGCTCCAACAAATAGGACAATACTTTTTGAATTTATGGTTTAGAGGATACCATGGCTTAGCACTACATCTGCCAAGTGCCACTGTGAGGGGGAAACTGACTTAGGTGTAATGAGTGGTTCACTGGTTTTCACACCCTACATATGTATAGACCAGTATCTATGCATGAAGGGAGAGTTTATACTGGCACAGAGGAGTTGATTTCACCCACCCCCAAAACTGCAGTTATTCCTGGGAGCCAAATTTAGGAGATAGCAATTAAGCAGACAGATTAATACCAGTAACTTCCCACCTATTAGTTTATAATGTATCTCATTTGTTTCAAGAGCAGCCTAAATAAATGACTCAGCTCTGCCACCCTCTGGTCCCTTTAAACATTCAAAAACCTGCTCTTAGCTAAAGCTATGGGGAATGACCAAGGACGGCCGTGAATAGAAAGAAAATTGAGTGTGCATGCTCACGAGAGATACCTTGAATATAACTCTATTTTTAGTTCAAGTCTAGAAAAACAAAAGGTCATTTGATCCAAATTATTTCTTCTTCTTTTTTTTTTTTTTTTAAATATATTTTATTGATTTTTTACAGAGAGGAAGGGAGAGAGATAGAGAGTTAGAAACATCGATGAGAGAGAATCATCGATCAGCTGCCTCCTGCACATCTCCTACTGGGGATGTGCCCGCAACCCAGGTACATGCCCTTGACCGGAATCGAACCTGGGACCTCTCAGTCCGCAGGCCGACGCTCTATCCACTGAGCCAAACCGGTTTCGGCAATTATTTCTTCTTTTAAGCTTTCGATAAATAAGAAATGTATCCTTCTATGAAGCTCACCAATCTTTTTCAAAGGCTTTTTTTTTGTACTGGGGAGAAAGTAAATATGGCAGGACATGGTTCCTTTCCTTCAAAGTACCCATTTTCATGAGCATCATTAAAAAGAGGCTCTATAATGTTAGGTTGCCAAGTAGATTGGTGCCCCAGGTAAGCGGATACAATCACTGATAAGTCGGTCTTTTGTGAAAATTAGATTCCTTAGTTAATTGCAACACATTGACATTGAAGGGAGTTGTCATTGTGTCTGCAGGAACTGCCTCCTTGGTAGGAACAGCTGGCAAGCAGAGGGCTCGGTAGTGGTGCAATCGTGCCAGCTTCAGGACTGGGTTGAAATCTGGGATTTGCCGCCATTCCCCAGTCCAGCTGGAAGCCAAGGCCTGGACAATGAGCACCCCTCTGGAAGCTATCTGATTTATTCAACCAGCACCTGCTGCACACTCTACCCCCACTCTGCAAGGCAGTGAGGAGATGGGGTTTTCTCTCTGCACTCCATTTCTCGGATTAACCAGAAAGCTTCTCTGAGGGGCTGGTGAGGTCTGTTGAGAAAGAGTAAATGGCTCTCTACCCATGATATAAAGCATCGTTAATTCATGAACCAAAGAGACCAAAAATTCTCTAAATAGACAAGCAGGAAAGAGGTTTTTAAGATATAGTTTAGCTTTTTTCCCCTTCTCTTGGAAACCCACTCTAGAAGTTTGAACTAAGGACCCCCCTCTTTTCCTGCAGCTCCATGAAGCTAGCAACAGGAGCTTATCCTGGCCAATGGGAAGTATAAAAGAACTAGGGCCTTGCTTGATTGAGCTGGCTTACTTTTAACAACTTGTATCAGTGTAAGGAAGAGTGTATGTTGGACAGGTTTTGGTCTCACAGTATCCTGAAATTCCAACAGGCAGAACACCTTGGATAGGTTGAAATCCCTGTAGATTCAAACTTTTAAAGCCCTAGCCGGTTTGTCTCAGTGGATAGAGAGTCGGCCTGTGGACTGAAGGGTTGTCATAGCGTGTGCAGAAGGCAACCAATCAATGTGTTTCTCTTACATCGATAGTTCTCTCTGTTCTTCCCTCTCTCTTCTTTTAGTTCAAGTCTAGAAATCACTTTTAAAAATCACTTTTAAATATCCTGAAATGCTTCCCTCCCCACCCTAAACCAATATCAAGAGAATGAAAACACTGACTTTTTTCTGACTGTCCACGCTGAAGTTCTGAGGATACCAAGGCGTTCAAGGGTGCCCTGCAAGCATCTCTCCCAGGCCTGAGTGGCCTAGAATCGTGAGGGCCCAGGCTAGATGAGGCTTCTATCAATTTTTCCTCCTGTTGCTTCCTTAAGGATTTCTCAAGCTGTAAAGACAGCAATGGCAGGAAACGGGTTTGCTCATACATGGGTGCTATTTCATGCTGTTTAGATGGAGCTGTGTGGTTATTTAAAGTGATAATTAAGGTGCTTTATCATTCTTTGGAACAGCAAAATGAATTCCAAAGTAGAAATTATTGTCCAATAATTTTTAGGATAATTAAGGCTTTTTCAGCTAGCATCCAAACCATTACTTCTTCCTCCGTTGCTCCCCTCCTCCCACCGCCTCCCTCTGTCTGCATCACCTCTGTCTCATCAGTCTGCGCATCTCATTTTGAGACTAAGCTCTGCCAGAGGATGCTGGTTTATTTCTGAGGGGGCGGGGATGTGCGGGGACTAGAACGGACCTAGGAGCTCCTGTCTCATTTGTTTTAAGGCTGCGGTTTCTATTCCCTCCTCTGGCCCGTGCAGTTTGAAATTTCACTGCTCTGAAAATCTCCACAGGAACACTGGGTCGAGAAGTCAGAGTATAGAGAATGGCAAGCCAAAAATATACCCTTCAGAGAGCCCAGCAACAAAAATGGTATTTTACATAAGGCCAATAACCAGCTACAGAGCAGTACCAGCTAACTAGTCTGAGGATGAAAAGCACTTGCTGGCTGCATGCAGGTTCCAGGCATAATGGGTCCCCATCCCCACACCTGAGCTGCTTCACAGTCAGCTGCATTGCCTTGTTCCTGGCCTGCCACCCTTTTTCAGATCCAGCTGCTTCCTTATGCAACCTTAGAAACCCAGTGTCCTATGTAAACACATCTGCCTTCCAAGGTAGACAGAGGTCAGTTGGAAATGGTCCTCATTCTGGCGCTACCTTGGGCTCACGTTTCTTGGCTGGCTTACTCCCCTGTAAAAAGAGGGGATTGGCCCTAGCCACTTTGGTTCAGTGGATAGAACATTGGCCTGCGGGCTAAAGGGTGCCAGGTTCGATTCTGGTCAAGGGCATGTACCTCGGTTGCAGGCTTGATCCTGGTTGGGGCACGTGCCAGAGGCAACCAATCAATGTGTCTCTCTCACATCGATGTTTCTCTCTCTCAGTCTCTCCCCGTCCCTTCCACTCTCTAAAAATCAATGGAAAAATATCCTTGGTTGAGGATTAACAAAAAATAAAAAGAGGGGGTTGAAGGAGAATTTTCAAAGCCAAACTCTGGATACTTTCATGGGAAGGACGTGTTATAAAATGCTTCACTATTTCCCCATTTCACTGTCACACTTAGAGCCTTCCAGGGACAGGTAGGGAGAGGTTGAGACAGAGGGGTCTTGGCCCTCAAGGAGACTAGTCTTCACTTTCCTGCCATCAGTCAAGGTATTTCCCAGCACCGAGGACTTGCCTCTCAGACTAGCTTCTCACCTGCGAATGCCATCAAACACCAGGACATTGCACCGGGCATTTTAGCAGGCATGTCCTGTGGAGGCTGTGGCCCACTTTCCAGGGCACCTGTGTGAATTCGCTCTGCCAGAGCCTCTGGAAGAATCAAAGAGAAATGTGTCAGAGCAGAACCCGTGAAACTGCCCTCGGGAAGTGACTGCAGTGACTCCAGTCCCCTCCCAGCCTGATCCCAGCCCCCTAACAAGACATAATTTAAATATAACCAGAAACTTCCAGCAAGACTGAAGAATATTTCCGTTAATGTAGGTGTAGTTACAGGCAGAAAAAAAATGGGACTGCTCCAGACAATTGGGGGAGGGGGGTCAGCTAAATTCATACCATTAGGTAGGCTACACTAATAAAAAGAAAAAAAATATTAGAGCAAGTGTAGCTGGAGTTGGGCCAGCGCTCTCCACTCCAGCTGTCTCCACTCCCCACCCCCAAACAAAACCTCACCCTGGCAACCCTGAAATTGCTTCCACACTCCTGTAGCTCCAACAAATACTGTTTGTCATCAGAAAACACTGCTCCTGTCTTTCCCAACAGGGATGTGTTTATGCTCTATTTCAACGGGATCTCTTCAAAATGTCAATAGGGTGACATGACAAATGTTCTCAGTCTCCCTTCATCTGGCCCTGGAATTAATGAGAATATTGCAGACAAATTTTTTCTTGTTCCCAATGTTAAAAATTAAGACTTAAAATTAACACTGTAAAGAATTTCATATTTCCCATAATAATATGGAAACCATATTGTAAACCGTTTCCTACCATCACCATATAACTAGCCACTCCTTCTTTGCCCCTGAAAAAGATTTAAATCAGGGATTTTTTTTTTAAAGACCTCAAAAAATAAATAAAATAAGAAGAGCCCTCTAAAAGGGATAGCTGTTTCTATAAAACAAATATAGCAAAATGGTAACTGTGTATTCCAGGTGGTTAATAGAGATAGTCATCTAAAATGCTTCCACATTTTCCCCAGTTTCCTAGGGCCTCAATTTTCTTATCAGTAAAACAGGAGCAGTCAAGCTTGAAGGGTTTTCCCAGCTGTAAAGTTTTTCAAAAGGCCACTTCTCTAGTTGTCTTTTAATTGCAGAAAAAAATAGGAGGCCTTCTCGCAGACTCTAAGGTGGCCCCACTCTACATCTCATCCTCTCAGCTTTCCTCTAAATCCATTCCAGGTTCCCTCATATGGTGGGAAGGGTACCAGCTTGGAGGTGGTACCTCCAAAAGGCACACTATCCTGAACAAGACCATTACCTCTCTGACCTTCAGTTTCTTTATGGTTCAGGGGCAGTAATCTCCACATCACAGGTCCAATGTCCAGGTAAAATGACATCATGACTGCTAACTCCACCCCTACATTGCAAACTGGAAAGCATTCTCAGGATCTCAATCGCTATGAAACTCTCATCACTTCTTCCTGTTTGCCAGAAGAGGTCATCAAAGAGCTTTCTTTCCAAACCCAGACAGACTCCAAAAGGCCAAATCCACCGCCCTTCAGAGCAGCTGACTGACATCTCATGACCTGCTCAAGGCCCTCCTCACTGGTGAAATCACTCTGCTCACTGTTGCGCCTGGGCACGCTCTAGAGACCTCAATTCTAGTCCTGGTTACACTGATCCAGCACCTGCATCCCTTTCACCCAGAGATGTGAGCACCCACTGAACAGAAGGCACCATATTAAGTTCTGCGAATAGTTGCCATTCACATGCAGAGTAGTAGCGGACTGTGAAGAAACCTGGACTATCACAATTCTGCTATTGAACACCTCCTGTGTGTTTTTAAATAACAGAATTCCACAATGGCCCTGATCTTCTCATTTTACAGTTGAGGACAGTGAGCTCCAAAAGTTCCTTTCACCAGCCCAAGTCGAAACCTTGCAGAATTTGGACATGATTCTAAAGACAATGGGAAGCTAAGATTTGGAAACAGGCTTGACAGGTTTACATCTTCCACTTTCTGTTTTTGACCTCCAACAAATTATTTCACCCTGTGACCTCAGTCACCCACCTACCTCCCAAATTGTTGACTATAAAAATAAGTAATTGATGTAGTGTCATAAAAAAGCAGAATATATGAAATTGGTCCATTTCAACTGAATCTTATAACTTAATAAAAATTATGGAGCCTTTGGTACTTTCCAGTATACAAAAATTTAACTCCTATAATCTGTTAAATACCAGGGAGTACTATCTTGTACTAGAATGGAAATCCATCATCTTTTAGATCAAGAACCAAACGAGACAATCCTCGGTCTTCATCTTCTCAGAACTTGGTCATAAGCAACATAAACTTAGCCCATCTTAAAAGGTTGAGCACCTACTAATCCAGTGTCTGGTACATGAAGGATTTAGAGCGGATGTGAGGCCATGTTCCAGCTAGAGTTATGGAAGAACCCAAGCAGGGTGAGCAGCGGGCAGGTGGGAATCAATGGCATTTGGAGGACAATGACAACACACTCCCTGCTAACAGTCCTGCAGGAGTGATCTGCGTGTGCCCGGAGTGGCCTAGATTTGCCTGGAATCAAGAGTAAGGACTGCACCTTTTCTGGAGGTCTTCCCTAAATCTGGAATCCCTTTAAAACATTCACTCAACTAAGACGAGGCACATCCTACAAACATTGCAAGGCACGGGAATCAGAGGACTGTCCCTAACGACAGAATTTAAACTTAGTGAAGTGATATGTGATCTGGATAGGAGTCCTCCAACCCAGGGGATCATGTGGTAATAGAGACCAGAGAAAGAATTCAGAGGCGAGAAATTGGGTCTCACAGGAACCGCTCTTGGAGGACAGGATAGGTGAGCTCAGACTCTTAAAGTTATTTCCCATAGCAGTTTACTATCTGGATTTATATAATTGTGGTTTCACCTTTTAAATACGAGTAACTACTTATCCCAAGCAGGTGTTCAGGTAAAGAGGGAGCACCTCTCTATGAGATGCCATTGAAATGAGTAATAAAAGTGGGGGCAGACCGTAGCCAGTTTGGCTCTGTGATAGACCGTCAGCCTGTGGACCAAAAGGCCTCGGGGTCGGTTCCAGTTAAGGGCACATATCTCAATTGCAGGCTCCTCGCTGGCCCTGGCCCTGGTCAGGGTGCGTGCAGGAAGCAACCAGTCCACGTTTCTCTCACATCACATTTCTCAGGTGAGAATTTAAAAAAAAAAATTTTAAGTAGAAGCTGCTGCTTGTCTCCCCATCCTTTTGCTTCTGACCTAACAATCCCTTAAGTGACTTGATGTGCACAAACTAGGCCAGACCAGTTCACGGGACAAGGCCTCTGCTTACTCCAGTTCCTAGGACTCGGTTGGCCTGTCCATGTCTCTCTGCCTGCATCCAGAAGCTTGGCCTTTGGCAGAACAGGACCATGAGCTACAGCAGTGATGCCAGAATGTGTGGGCCACTGCTCTGAAGGCCAGGGCCAGTCCTGCATAGCTCTGCATGCTGGGGAGACAAAGGGCACTCTGAATGGCCTGTTGAGTGAGCCGTCAGGGTCACTGGGTGTGTAGGTAACTGCTATGTGCTATGTAATTAATTGCCTTGATATGATTTTTCAAAATGTCTCAGCATGGAGAAAGCAGCTCGGCCTCTCGGGGTTCATGTCAGAAGTGGAAGCTCAGGGAGGAGATCTCCATAGTTCGTGTCATAGCCAGGACTAACCTCCCTACACCTGCCTGTCATCCATCCACCTGCTGTTTATTAAATCACTGTGGCAAGAAGTGCAGTGTAAAAGCAGAGCATCAGAATAAAAGCCTCTTTTCTTACAATGTAAGAGGGGACAATAGAACTTCCAAAACAATCACCAATGAGGAATGCAGGAAATATGTATGAGAAAGGAGGGTGCCCAAAGTGGGCAGAAAACAGATCATGGAGCCTTTCAAGACCTGAGGGCCATTTGAGCAGCAGCACCTTAAAGAACAGGTGAGATTTTGACAGATGGGGAAAGAGTATTCCAGCAGAGGGAATAACAGGAGTAAAACATGGAGGTAAAAAAAACAAGGGGCACGTACAAGGTACCATGATTATCCGTTTGGTTCAAGTGTTGTGAATGGTAGGCACAGATAAAGCATGGAGTACATCATAACAACCTTAAAGTTCTAACAGACCCGGGGCACACCTTCAGGGGCTGAGAGTTCATTCTATCTCCTTCCCATTAGCTGACACTTCCAGCCTCATTCAGATTCTCTATACTTATTTGGGGGAACTTACCTTTTCCTTCATCTTAGAAGTAGACATAGTACCCACTAGAAATTCACATCTTCAAGGGCATTAATTCACCCCGACATATAGGAAGCACTTAGCACAGTTGTGCTCAGTAGGCACTGGAGAGGGGGATAATAGAGATACAATCAAGTCCTGATTCTACACTGAGATTGCTGGTCTATGGTGACTCTGAAAACCTTTCCAGAGCTTCATCTTTTGCAAGCCAGCCAGCCAGTACTTAGTACATGCAGGTACTTCTAAAGTAGAGCTTGTGGTGCAAATACTATTACCTTTTGTTAAACTGAATTAGAAAACAGCTGACCTGGAAGGAAAGTATAGCCTAGCATGTCCTTTTTATTTTCAGCTGCATCTAAAATGACTTCTCCCAACCTAGAGCATCTCTCCCTAGTCAAAGCATGAAGTCATGTTCATAAAGAAAAAAAGGTGTGAAGAGGAAAAAAGCCAAATATGAATTTTTTAAAAAGACAAATGTAACTGGTTTTTAATCAAGTCATTGCTAGTGTGTAAAATGAAAAGTTTCTTTCAGAAAGAGTTGCTTTCTTGATTAAACTCTTTAAAAAGAATACTGTGGGGAAAGAGATTAGAATTACCTACCCTAGTAAATGATTGGCCCAAATCTTTTTTAAAAGTGGTGCTTACATATCAAATAAGTAGTTTGCTAAAATCAATTTTTTTCCACATTAGGTATTTCTACGTCTTTCAAAGGTATGTGTACCATGCTCTGAGCATGCCATTAGCCAGAATATAGTAGGAAGCTAAAAAGGTGGGTGTTCCCATAATGCATTTCAAAGCATTAAATTTAAAATTTATACCATGAATTTAAGACATATTATTTCATATTTTAATCGTTCTATTTTCCAAGACTTAATCCATTATAGTATTTTCAGCACTAACAATAGTTAAATCCCAAAGGGGTGCATCCTACTTGTCTATTGGACAGGTGAAACGCCTACCCAATGTGATTCTTATGCATATTAGACAAACAATGGTGCAAAGGTCTCAAAAAGAACCCAAGAAACTATGCAGCCAAATTCTAATTTCAAGACAAGTCACAGCAAGGACCTCAGCTGCCTCTAAGTTCGAAAAACTGGACATCTTCCCTTCTGTAATTACATAGAAATGTACAAAGTGAACCACAAAGTGACCAAGACAAAACCCCTAATACTTTTAAGCCCTCTAGTAAGGTTGTCAAAGGGTGTCCGGGTCTCCTTGTCTGGATCTCATTGTCACGATCGACCTGTTGGCTAAAATCACTTCTTTAAAACTGAGAATTACTTCAATATAAAGAACTAGTGTCATTTGGGCAAAGAGCGGCTGGTGAATGATTGAAAGGGACAGTGACTGCTCACTTTCTAAGTGTTCAAACACACTGAAGTGTTTCCAAATCACAAATTATTTGGTCCTCTCTCCCAGGAAGGCCAGTTCCAGAGGCCTCATTCTCAAACTTGACTGGCCCAGGAAACCCATGGGAGGAGACCAAATTGCAGCCATATTTGTGGACACGCAGGAGGCATACCTGGTAACAGGATGAACAGGACTACTGGTGATATCCAATTCACAGCTAAGACATTAATGAGAAAGCAGTATTAGATTGATTTAAAACAGTCCAAAGTGAGTTGGAAATTATCAAATAAAGGCTCACTCATGCACTGGGGGAAAGGGTATTTTATTTACATGATTTATCATAAACTTAGTTTTAATTTTTTTTTTTTTTTTACTCAAGATTATCCACTAAGAGGCCAGTTTCTGCCAATAGAACCAGTGTCCTATCTCGTCTCACCAAAGCAAATGGCTCCTGCGTAACTGCAGCCATCTCCAAAGGACGCACCCTTCATGTTTGCTCCATTTCATTAGTTTAGGTATCCGCACAAAAGACCTACCCTTTGTCTTAACAGTTACCTGATTTGATATTTAGGCAGAATTCTTCTGCAAGTGACTTTACATTTTTACATTTCTTTTTTTCCAAAAAGGTAGCTGCCAACTGAAATGTGTTGTGACGGGGGTGGGGTAAACGTTTAGTATTTATTAACTTTCAAGAGCTCCAGCATATGTTACCTGAAACCTCACACATCAATTCATTACACTATAGCTACTCAAAGTTATTTTTAACCTCAAAGAACAGAAGGGCACCTATAATTCTGTGGTGACAATGCCAGCACAGGATGTGGAGACTGCTACAGGTAAGACAACTGAAGTTACAATTCTGTGATTCCCATACTTTAGGGAGATGTAAAATATATGCTGCGCTGGGCAGTGTGAATTAGTTAAGCTACAAAGTGCTTGATCACCTATGATGGAAGTTCAAGATCACTCATACTTCCACAGAAGAGACTACAAAAGTCGTAAGCCCACAGAGTAGTAACTGACAGCTAGCCAAAGTAAAAGAGAGTTCTAAGAAATACCTAGGGAAATCTTAAACAATTACGTGGCCTGGAAAACTGGGTCAGAATTACTCACAAAGCTCCTCATCCTTTCCCACAAGAAAATGTGACAGTATGTCTTTTATATGGAAATTTCTTTGTATATATGTATAAACTTGGTATGGCCTTAATGCTGCAGTTAAGGATTTGTTTGGCTACCACCTTAAGCAGCGTGTTAAGCAATCGCTTCCTTAATGTAACATTTTTACTTCTTACAGGACTCTTAACCTTAACCAACCTATTCCCTTTTGCCCCTTACTCCTCCCTGTTTTGCATGAAGTCATAAAAGTTATGGCAATTATTTTTTGGCTTGTAAAAAAAAAAAGTCTATTTCTGCAGTTTGAAGATGGAATGTAAAATTTCTGTGATACATGTATATAAAAATATATTTATTGAACCATCCATATACACATATCCATGCTGATTCCAATGAAAAAAATTAAAGTTTTCTGAAATTTTCTTTGTGGTTAATCCATAGTTGTTATTATTCAACCAACTTTGTATGTTAAAGAACTTTTGAAGTCTTGCAATTACCCCAAAAAGAAACCTACATATGATCTGGAAAACATCACTTCACTTAAGACAGGCTTTATATTATTAATTCAAGAAATATTTATTGATATGTGCACTAGGGAGATACAAATACGACTCAGACACAGATCCTGCCCATCAGGAGCTTACAGTCTAGCAGGGGAGATAGAACACATACATGGGACCATAGTCAGAGCTGTTTCAGTTAAGATGAATCTAGCATGGGGTATAAGTAGGCTGGGGTAAGAAGAGGTCAAGGAAGCTGAGAGGCCACTGAAATTATCCCAGTGAGGAGAAAGAGATGTGAAAGACTGTTGAGGTAGAACTGGTAAGACTTAGCTGGACACTGGATGTGGGGAGCAAGAAAAAGGGAAGCAGACAACTTAGACTTGGGGCATGGGTGATGACATGAACTGAAAGAACAATGGAGTAGGTTTGTGAAAAGAAATGAAATTTGGCACATAAAATTCTTCTACATACAAACAAATGCCTGGGATATACTGGGCACTTAAGTCAGGCCAAGGATGGAAGTACCTCAAAATGACCAGTGACTTCCTCTCTCCTCCACTCCCCCCCCCCCCCGCCCTTAAAATTTCCCAACAATCCCCTCCACTATGAAATGTCATAGTGCCTAAAATTTATTCAATTAAGTCCTGGCTCTAGGCATACCTCCCTTTTGAAAATGAAAACAGAAATACACTAATTCATTCAACTCAATGAGTCATCATTAAATGCCTCTTTCCTATAGTCACTGTACCTTCAGTGGAATGCTGGAATTAATTTCCCAGTCCTTGTCCTCTAGGAGCTGTGGTCTAAT